CTATATAGTCCCTCTTCTTAGGAAGACCATTCCATTTCTTCACCAACTCTAATTCTGTGCAGCTCAGCCCTGCTTGATATAAACTGGACCAGTACTTGGTCTTGAGGAACCTCTTTTAGTCATTCCCTGGATGGAGTGTTTGGTTCAGTGTGTGACTAGACTCTTCCTATTTGAAGTGTTAATAGACCACCAGTGAGTAGTATTTAGGATTTTTTTTTTAAAGGGAGTGGGGTCTAACATTTTTACATTCTGTTGGGGTTTTATTGTTATTATTTAGAAAAAGGGTGACTGAGGTATATAAGAAGGAAACCTGTGGTTCTGATTTACTGAACTGTATGTTCTCAACAGTTTAATAAAATAAAACCCAAAGCTCTCTTAGGTTTTCCTCCGGGGTTAATACTAATACCGTGCACGTTCCCACCAGCCCAGCTCCTATCCGTAGGTCATACTCTGGTTCAGAGACCTGGGGTGGGTAATAAGATTATAAAACATGCCTGTTGCTTGCCAGCTACCACATGCTAATAATAATAGTAGCCATAATTCACTAGAATCCAGGACTTTTAGGTTTTACTTGGCTTGTTTGTTTAAAGGAACAAAAAAATAAAATCTTGAGGAGAAACAAGGGGGCATTGCATAAACGAAAGAAAAATTGCATCCTTTCAGCAGAGCTGAACAGTACCTTTTGTTTGTGAGCACCTTGTGTCCTTCAGAAGAACTTTGCTGTTTTAGCTGGAGGTGAGGATCTGAGCACAAGGGGGTAGTATTAGGTTAAAGCAAGTTTTCTCAAGCTTGGCGCTATCGACATGGCTGGACAGTTCTGTGTTGTGAGGCTGCCCTGTGCACGAGAGGATGGTCTCTGCTCACTGGAGGCCAGTAGCAACCCTCCCCTGCAGTGTGAAGATTAGAAGTGTCTCCAGAAGTTGCTAAATGTCCCCAGGGGACACGTTGCCCCCAACTGAGTACTGCTGGTTTAAAGTAAAACAGGATGTTTCAGAGGTTTCCTTATTTGCCTGTTTTTGTCTCTTACCTAGAGTTGCAGACTGTGATTTTTTTTTTTTTTAAAGGAGTAAGAAAGTAAGAAGTGACCTTGAGTTTGTTCTCTGGACTTTCTGGGTGAAGCACGAGTCAGTTTTAACTTCATGTTGCAGAGGTTTATGTGTGCAGTTAAAAATGCATTTAACCAGCTCTCTTGCTTATGTCCAGGTTGTCACATGGGTGGTTATTTGTAGATTATTCCTCTAGGAGCAGGTGAAGTGACTGGGGACCTCAGTAAGTTCACATTTTAATAACCTGAGGTGGAGTCTGACCCTTTGTATCTTTTCCTTCTTTTGCTGAGGTCTTTCATAGCTCAGTTTTCTGGGAATTCACTGGAGAAATCAAAAGTCTGAGTTCAAAACCTATTTCCAAATAATCCTTGTTATTTGATGCTTTGTTTTTTAGTTTTTTTTTACATTGAAAGTTATTTTTAATCGGAAGATAATTGCTTTGCAGTGTTGTGTTGGCTTCTGCCATTCAGCATCATGCATCAGCCCTAAGTGTACACATGCTCACTCCCTCTCGAACCTCCCGCATCCCATTCCACCCCTAGGTTGTTACTGAGTGCTGCGTTGAGCTCCCTGTGTTTTACAGCAACTTCCCAGTAGCCTTGTGTTTTACATATGGTAATATATATGATGCTTTCTGAAAACATAGAAAAGGAATTAAGGAAAAACAAACATCTGAATGGATTTTGAAATTGTGTTTGTTTCCTGGTAAGATTTAGTTGAAAGGAAAAAAAGAATCCATGGTTTATCTGAATCTCTTTTCAAATATTATATACATTGGGATTGGCAGCAGTTGGTCAGTCTGTCAGACTTAACATTTTGTAGTTTTTACTTGATACTGGGGATTTCATACTTCTCTGGGTGTGGGAAATACGTAGGTAATCCTAGAACACAGGTGTCACAGTGGATTTACCTGGAGAGCTTTGAAAAAACCCAGGGCCCAGGCCATATCCCAGACCATTGAAATCTGATGCTCTAGGGGTGGAACCAAGGCTTAGATGCTGGGTCTTCAGCCTCCCTGAATTCTAGTGGGAGTGAAGGTTGAGGACTAGGGTGCATTTCTATAAATAAAGTTTTACTGGAACATAGCCACGCCCATTCATTTACTGATTTTCTAGAGACCCCATGACTTGCAAAGCCTGAAGATATTTACTCTTTGGCCATTTACCAGAAAACACTTGCTGACTCCTGCTCTAGTGAAAATTTTTTTTAAAAGCTTTACAATACAATTCGTAGTAAAAGAACAAGATTTGGTACTTTGCAGAGCCTTCAAGGTCAAATCCCATTGGTTTTTTTTAATATATAATTTTTTTTATTATTTTCGGCTGTGCTGGGTCTCGGTTGCTACATTCGGGCTTTTCTCTGGTTGTGGAGCTTGGGCTTCTCACTGCGGCGGCTGCTTTTCTTGCAGAGGATGGGTTCTACAGCTCAGGCTCCATAGTTGTGCACAGGCTTGGCTGCTCCAAGGCCCGTGGGGTCACCCCCGAGCAGGGAGCCAACTCGTGTTTCCTGCATCGGCAGGCGGATTCTCTACCGCTGAGCCACCAGGGAAGCCGTGTCGGTTTTCTTGTACAGGGGAGAAACAGAAAATCATTTTCCCTGAAGAGCCGACTGTAAGATATTGTGAAACTGGTGCCCAGCTCACCACTCAGAGTGGGAGACTGCAGGGGTCACATGAGGGCACTGGACTTAAAAGTCTGCTCTGGTTTCTAACTCAGCGTTGGTTACTTCGGCTCTGTTTGACTTGACGGGGCTCGAGAGGCAAAGCTGGCTCTTTAATGTAAGGTGTTGGAGACTGTTCCTCCCACTGCAGCAGCTCTAGGTGACAGCAGACCCTGAAGGAAGTCCTTTAGCTCTGGAGAATTGCATATATAAAAAGAGAGAAAAATTTAAATGCTTTTTACACCATCCCGCCTTTCCTCAGTTCAGGTAGAAAGCTGATGGCTGTAAACCATTGGTCTTCCTTTGATCACCGCCCCTATGGGCTGCAAGCAGGAGAGAAAGGATCCTTTATTTTAGTTCCCTGAGCAGAATTGGCACCTCCTGATTGAGATGCTGATTGAGACCACGTCACTCTGGGAGGCCCCACCCCACACTTACTGAGTCAGAGTCTACTTTTTAACCAAATCCCCAGGCTGTTTGAATACACATGAAGAGCGCCCTGGGAGGCACTAGTCTTAATTGATAACTGTGTCCGTGCAGTCAGCCGACCATTGATCCTCACTTTAAATCATTTCATGGCTCCTTATTGGTTTCTGGCTTGGGAATAGCCAAAGGGGAAAAACTGTCTGTCCGCCTTTAATGGCTGAGTCCAAGTACGGCTTGCCTGCCCTCTTATTTAGGAAAGATTTATATAATGGTAGAAAATGAAAATCAGGTGATAGAGTTGGAAGAAACGCCATTTTATATGTATTAGAAAAGCAAACTAGAAAGGATAAAGGGAACTTGCCAGGTGAACTCCACTTGTGAGGAAATAATCAAGTGGAGTGAGGTCTTTGCTTCTGCAAGAAGAAATAATCCACCCACATTAGAGCCAACATCCTCTGGGGAGCAGTAGGGAGGTCAAAAATGAATGCCTGAAACTCCTCAGATTAGCACAGGGAGTTAGGCCTTTCCACCAAGCAAAGCCATACCGTTCAGCCGTACACATAGCCCTATATCACATAGGAAGTTGTCCAGAATTTAGATGTTCACAGAAAATCTTGAGGAAGCCCAGTACCTACTTTTACCCTACCAGGTTCTGTCAAGTTAGTAGTATTTTCTTTATCATCTGTCTTTATAAAGATCTGATTGAAAAACATGATTTCTGAAATTAGTTTTTAATTCTTAAACAGAATCAGCTTATCCTTGAACAGTTGTAAATTGTTGACTTTTTAAATAAAGTTAATACCATCTGAATTTAGTTTTTTAAAGGCAATCTAAGTAATAAGAGTCTAGCTATTGGTCTGGCTGTTCTTGCTCTGTAGATCTGATCCTCCGGTTAGTGCTCACTGTCTGTACCAGCCAGGTCCGTGCAGGATTCAGAATAATTCCAGTGTTTGTGAAAGTGGCCAGGAAGAGCTAGAAAAGCAGGAGTGGGAACCCTGGTTAAACCTGGTGGTTCCATCTCCTTAGATTTGAATGAGCGGTCAGGATGCTACAGGCACTGCTCCTTACCTAAAAGCTACTTGAGGTCCCCAAGGCAGAGTCTGATTGCCAGAAAAAATTGGGTCAGCTGAGTGTCAGCTGCCACTCCTGCCGGAAGAGCAGCATGTGCCTCCCTTCTGCCTTCCAGATCTCATTTCATGTCCTGTTAGTGGAATCCAAATCACCTCCAGAAGCCTGGAGACAGGAGAGCCTGAGAGCCTCAGATCCCAGCCTTGGCTCTTTGCTAGAGGGAGAGCATAGGAGGGGGCGGGAATGGGCTCTGAGTGACAGCATCCAGCGTGGCCTCATGTTGACGACACCAGCTGACTCTCACACAGGGTGTGCTTGTTTTTTTTAAAAAACATTCTTTTGATGTGAACACTGAACGATTAATCAAGGGTAAGATGCCAGTTTTACACACGAGGAGACATGTGAGGGAGTGAAATACTATTTCACATTTTAAATAACTTGTTCCTGATCAGACGTGCCGGTCTGTTACAGGGGGTTGTCTTGGTTCATAAGCAGCACTCTCTGATCTTTACTGCCCTGTTCTCTTTTGCACTTACTAGTGGAGCATCCTGTGACCAGTTGGCATTAGAGGGGTACTTTTGAGGGGACCCTGGGATGGAAAAGGCACTTCAGGCTGCACAATTCCAGTATTTCTAGATACTAGAAATAGTGCACTGGAGTCTGTGCACTGGAGGAGCATACTTATTCATGGGTGAGGACACTTCTAACTTTAAGAGATTATTCTGTTAATTTAAAGAATTGGGTAATTCTTGTAACATGTAACTGTGGTCTCAACATATTCCCTCTTTTTTTCTTAAGCAGATGAAAAACCCGGAGAACCGCCACGCAATGAGTTCCCAGTACAGGATGCATTCTTACTACCCGCCTCCTTCCTACCTGGGCCAGAGCATGTCCCAGATCTTCACTTTTGAGGACAGCCCGTCTTACTCTGAAGCCAAAGCGAGCGGTAGGTTCCTGGTTACACAGTCTGGATTTGAGGTGGAGGGGATACCTGCTAGCACGGGGTCTCTGGTCCTCTCAAACAGCTTACCAGTCAGCAGCAGTTGGAACGGTTGTATAAGTATTCTTTAAAGTGCTTAGTTATGAAATGATTTTTGCTTTGGTTGATTCTCAGTATCATGTTTCTCTCTTCTGGACACAGAGCGGTAGGAATAAGATAGAGACTCCGATCAGAAGCCAAAAATATATTTTCTGGAGGATCAGTATGTAATATCAGGGGCCCTTTAAATGTGGTTAAGTCCTGATATTTTTGGTGGAATGAATCTCTGTGTATTGAAGACTAGTTTTCCAAAACTTTTCCAATGTAAAATTGAAGGTATATTCATCTTTTGCAGGAGGAAATAGCATAATAAAACATTTTTTAATACAATAGATCTCAGAGTTTATGCAGTAGCAATGCAAATAACTCTGATATAATGGCTTGGAAATAATAAATGACTGCTTAACTGACAGAGCACTTTGAAATACACAATTCCTCAATTTCAATTTTAACTTTCTCCCCAGTGTTTACATTGTGATGATAGGTAAATCTTTTATGGCTGCTGTGTTCAGGTCCTATTTTTAAGTTCTTTGTATTTCAGCATTATGTTTTGATCTAGAAAAGTAAGGAGCAGTCACAATTCAGGAAATCAGGGCAATAGTGAGTTGGGAGAGAAACCCACTATTAGAACTTAACTCTGTACTGGACAAAAGAAGCTGGTTTTCTGGATAGCTTGATTCTCTATAAAGAACTGGCTTCTTTGTAAAATGATTATTTAGAGAATGAAAATTAGAACCATGCTTTGATTTCCAAATTAAAAACAGTGAAGTCTAGAAAAGCTGGAAAAGTTACTCTTTATTTTCCATACTAAAATAAAGGGTTTTGTTAGTATGGAGTACATAGTTGGGGGGACTGACAGTGTGAACTATGGAGAGACTGAATCACACATTGTTGATTACTCTTTGATGTTTATTAATAATCAGTTTTTTTCAGGAGTGGACAAGCACAATTCTGTTTTATAAATATTCATGCTATTTAATATTTGCCCATGTGGTCCTTTTTATACTCTGTTTGATTCTGTAATTTGAATTATAAGATCCTTAAGGACAGGGGACATCTTATATACCTTTTTAGCTGCTGTGATGTCTGTTTGTTATTCATAAGTTTGAGGGAATGAGTGAACAAAGGGATATGATTTGTAGTAAGTATGATTTGTAAGTAAGCTTGGTCTTTAAGAAGACACCATCCAAAAACAAAAGGTCAGATTCCTAACTCATTGTCTCAAGAAGCCAGGGCACAATTTCGGGATGAAGCAGTTAAAGAAATGTTTGTTCATATAGCAAATTAGGAATGAAACTTACTTTCGAGAAGAAATTGCCCAAGCTCTTTGCTCTAGGAATAATGGAATATTTTTAGAAGCACTGGCATTCTGGAGACAGAGGTGTAAATTCAGAGCAAGGCAGTAAGACAAAAAGATAAGAGGAAATTTATTAGAGCAGAGAGGAAGGAATCTGGAGAGGCACAGTAGACATTTGAATTTATGGCCGAAAAGGAAGAGACTCAGAAGGAGAGAGGTTACAGGGAGAAAAAGGAAAAAAAGGCCAGCCACCCTAGTGTCCATAGTGAGAGACTGGGTCAGTAACACCTGAAATTTCCTAGAACTTCTCTGGCGACATGTGTACTTGAAAGTCTGGTGTGAGGATACCTCAGGCATAACCTTCTGGTCCTTCTCTAACTCACTGATAATTAATCAGGAGGGGAAAGCTTCAGACCTGAGGGAAATAGCTAGGAAGAAATGCAATGGAATCTCAGCAATGTCTACTTTGAAATTGCCATGAAGAAGGAGAATATAAATTAATAGGAAATCCAAGCCTCAGATTATTTTTTAAAGAAATAACTTCCAAATATATGGTGTCTTGGGTTTCTACATTGCATGACACTTTTGCAGAGCACATGGGAAGGGACGGGGAAGGAAAAAGTTATGGATCAATAGGAACACCCCAGGATCATCTCCTGGGGTATCAGTTTTATCATCGGCACAGATACAAGTGGGGGCCATTTATGCCCTCTGGTGAGTGGGGTGAGGCTGGTGACAGGATGTGGGGACAGGGATGGGGCATCAAGATAGTCATTTGTGAGGAGGTGGTAGAGGCTGGCTGATTACCAGTTAAATTTATCAGTTCTACCAGGTTTGGGTTGAGGTCCTATGGTGGGTTGCATTAGCAAATAATGATTTGTAAATGGTGTATCAATTATCCTATTTGGGGACTTATAAGTAATCTGAAAAACAGCTTTTTCAGTAGATTTAACGTTTTGTTTTGAAAGTCTTAAGTATAAATTTATCCACTAACTCCATTTTTCTTTGGTTTCTTTAAAGGTAAGTTTAAACCTCTCTTTGCTAGCTAAAGAAATGTGTCCAAGTTCCAGGTTTTCTTATGGCTTTGTTGAAGATTGTAACATGAAAATGAAAGGTAGAGAGGGAAGGAATTACAGGGGAAGTTTTACTTTTGCTATGTTGCTTCTGTTTAATGTTTTTCTTTGCCGAAAGGCTAGGATCCATTCTGTCTGCTTCTATGTCCTGAGAAGTATGAGGACATAGGTCAGAAATGGTGAGGCCTTGGTGTGTAAGACTTGGTGAGCCATTGCAGGAACTTTGGCTTTTATCTCAAGTAGATGAGAAGCCCCTGGAGGGTTTCCAGTAAAGGGGTGACATGTCTGCTTGTGGTTTTTAAAGATCACTCTGGCTCTTGTTTAAGAACAGACTGTAGGGGTGCATGGTAAAGGCAGGGAGACCAGCTGGAAGGCTATTGCAGTAATTCTTGCAAAAGACGGCAGTGGCTTAGTCGGGGTGGGAGTGTGGGAGGGTTGAATTCTAGGTACATTTTGAAGATAGAAAGAAAAGATTTGGCGATGTATTTGGGATGTGACATAAAGGGAGAAGTGAAGGATAACTAATTTTTGATCTAATCAAGTAGGAACTTGAGGTTTCCACTTACTCGGGTAAAGAAGTCCATGGGAAAAACACATTTGCAGGAATTAGGAGGTTAATTGTGCACATGTTAAGTGCGTTTCCCTGGTGGCTCAGACGGTTAAAAAAAGTCTGCCTGCAGTGCAGGAGACCTGGGTTTAATCCCTGGGTCGGGAAGGTCCCCTGGAGAAGAGAGTGCCTGCCCACTCCAGTATCCTTGCCTAGAGAATCCCTCAGAAAGAGGAGCCTGGGAGGCTCCAGTCCGTGGGGTCGAAAAGAGTTGGACACAGCTGAGCGACTTGCACTCAAGTGTGAGATGTACGTAACTCATCCAAGTGGATCATAAAGTTAGGGGTTGGATGAATGAAGTCTGAGGTTGAGGGCAAGTATAACTGCTGGAAATAAAACTTGAGAGTTCAGTGTGTAGGTGTATTTGAAGTTAATATGGTAGGATCACCTGGAGAAGTGAGTGTAGACAAAGAATAGAGGACCGAGGCTTGAGCTCTGAGGCCTTCCAACGTTGAGAGGTTTGGTAGATGAACAGGACCAGCAGAGGGTAGAGTCAGGTAGGTACCTTCTCCTACCCGTGAGTTAGGGTGAAGGTATCTTGGGAGGCAGGGAAAGAAAGCATTTCAATGAACCAGCTAAATAATGATGGTAGATAAGTTGAGATGAGGACTGGAATTGACCATGGGCTGTTGAAAGGTAGAAATGATCAGGATGATCAGTGGCTTGATGAGTGGCCAGTGTGGTGTGGAGGTGGGGACCAAAGCCTGACTGTGCGTTCAAGGACACACGGGAGAGAAGCGTCCGGGCAGTGAGTGTAAACTGCTCCGAAAGGAGTCTTACTGGGAGGGGAGCAGAACCTGGAGAAGGTGGTGCGTTCAAGGAAAGTCCTTTCTTCTTTTTTAAAGAAGGAGGTTATTATAAAGATAAGCTGGTGTAGGGTGTGTTGGGAGGGGGCCACAACTGTCCAGGATGATAGCAGTGATTCTTGAGTAAGCAAGGTTGGGGGGGGATCCCCAAGGACACCCCCTCATAGGGCAGCAGTCCCCAAGCTAGGGGCTGGGCGTGTTTTGTCACTGGTCTAAGAGGAGATCAGTGAAGGAATTAAGAGTAAACAAAACCTTTACAGCAGCTTGACAAAACAGTTCTATGTATTGAACAAGAAAAAATTGGGGCTGGTAGTTTTTGCCTTTCACTTTTCTAGTAATTCATTTTTACATTGGAGTAAAATCCACCTGACGTAAAATTAACCACTAACCATCTTAAAGTGTACACTTCAGTGGCATTTAGTAGGTCACAGGATTGGCCACATTCACCTGTCTAGTTTCAAGTCATTTCATTCACCCCACAGGGAAACCCCATACCCGTGAAACCATCACTCTGTTATTCTCCATTCCACTGTCCCTGTTAACCACTAGTCTGCTTTCTTGTTTCAGTGGATTTACCTATTCAAGATGTTTTGCGTAAATGGAAGTATAATATGTGGCCTTTTGAACTGTCTTCTTTCACTTAGCATAATTTTTTCAAAGCTCATACAAGTTGTAGCATGTATCAGTACGTCATTCCTTAGTATAGCCTAATTTTATGTTTGGATATACTGTATTTTGTTTATCTGTTAATGGATATTTGAGTTGTTTCCACTCTTTTTTGGCCGTTGTTAATAGTACCGCTATGGATATTCACATACAAGTCTCTGTTTGAAGATTTGTTTTTAGTTCTTCTGGGCACATATTCCCAGGAGTGGAATTGCTGGATCATATGGTAATTCTGTGTTTAATTTTTTGAAGAGCCTCCAAACTGTTCCCTACAGTGGCGATACCACTTCACATTCCTACCACAGTGTATGAGGGTTCCAGTTTCTCTAGCTAAATAACACATTATTTTCCATTTTTTGCATTATGATTCTAGAAATTCACTTTAATTGTATTTTATAAAAGCATCAGATTGTGGCAGACTGGAAGCTGAAAAAAGGATTTCAACAAAACAGGTCCCT